CTCTTTTTAGTCTGGTTTACCTCTTGCCTTGCCTTATTTCCTTATATAAATTTTCCTTTTTGTACAAGTAAGGCTTTCTTTAATTTGATTAATACGTAAATTAGAAGCAATTTGGAAATTTACCTTTCAGATCTTTAATTTTTCCTTCCAAGTTTTGCATTAATTGAGCTATATAATCTAGAGACTTGTTGTGATTTATATGATAGCTTTGTCTATTTAGATTTTCTCTCTCGTTACTTCTCATTTTTTTTTGAATATTACTTTTCTTTCTGTTTTGAAACTTTTCTTTTCACTATTACTTGATGTAGTCTAAGCTCTTCTATATATCTTCTAGTTTTCTTTATGCTTTTTTAGTGCTAGACTAATCAAAGCCTTTTGCTGATGACTTTTCTTCTTTGTACTCTTTCTTGCACATGTTTTGAGCATTTGTTTTTTTGTTCTTGTTTGAAGTTTTTTCTTTTTTCTAAGCTCTTTTTACTTCTTTTGATAACTACTTTGTTCTCTCTGAAGGCTTTAGCTCTCTGATCTTTTAGTAACTCCACTTCTTAGTCTCTTGTATTTGCCTATTTTAGCTTATTGTTATAGTAGTATATTAAAAATCTAGAGATATTTATCATATCTTCTTGATTTTCAAAATATACTGTCACACTATTAGTATTTTAGAAAATATGTAAAGCTTTAGCATCAGAATTTTTAACTTATCTCCAAAGCAGTACTTTATTTGTGTTTTCTAATAAGTCTAGAGTCTTTTGCTGAATCTGTTTCTTGTGCAAAGTAATTCAAAATTGTTAGTTCCTACTATTACCCTTACTAATACCTAATTCACAAAAAGCAGACATCAAGTCTTATTCTTTTTCTTTTCATCATAGGTGCCTACTTTAAACTCAATCTCTACTCTTGTTCTACTCTTTCTATAAACTGAACTATCTCAAAAACTTGAGTTTTTCTTGCCTAGTTTGACAAGTCCTAAACTGTTATCTTGTTTTTCTCTTTAGTTTCATTTAAGCTGCTAGAATCTTGCTGAGCTATAGGGTTTTTTATACTTGCATATTCATATTGATCTAAGGTAATTATATTTCTTTTTTTCCTTCTTGTTAGAACTTCTTCTAACTCTACCTTTGCCTATTTTTCTATTTTTTTCTTTGTATTTGTAATGATACTTTCTTTATTTTGACTATTTAGAGGTTGAGCAGCCTTGTTTTTCTTTATATTATCTTCACGAATCAATTTAGCTTACTTGTATTCTTCTTTCTTACTTTCTAGTTTTCTTTTGGCCTCCTTGTAGCCTTTCTCACAGTCAAAAATGAGAGTATACTATAAATTACCTTGCTCGAATTTCTCAGATATTTTTTTAAGATGTGTATTTCTTCTAATTGATCACCTTAGAAACTTTTCTCTATGACTTGCATTATTTCCAAGTACTTTAATAGCTACTACTTTTGCTTTTATATTTTCTTTTTCTTTATATCTATCTTTACTTAGTGTTTATATACTTTGTTTGAGAGAGGAATCAGACTCAGCTGGTATCAGATCATTTTCTGATTCTTCTGTAGTGTCTAAGTAGAAATTGGTATTTAGTTTAAAGATCTCTTTATCTTGGATTTCTTTAATATCTTTCATGAGGCTATAATCTTCTTTACTTTTTTCGCTTACTAAAGGTTGATTTTCTAGAAAAGCTTGTTTTTCTTCTGTGCTATTATCTGTCTTTGTAAAATTTATTTAGTCTGTTATTTCTATATCTAATTTACTTTCCCTCTCTTGTATTGTTAGTTCATCTCCTCTTACTATTATATCTTAGATTTTTTGTCTAAATACTATCTTTACTTTATTAATTCCTTCTGTCATTGCTGCTCTCTCTATTACTTTTCTCTATTTTCTCGCTACTGTTACTATATTACTATCTACTTCTAAAATTTCTGCAATCATTTTATTTATGTGGTCTTCAAGACCCATTATAGCATCACTTCTTTTGGCTATTATTTCTTTGCTATATTCTTTTGTAACTACTCTAACTAATTTTGTTGCTTTAGCTTTATTCTATATACTTCCTAGCTTTATACTCTATTTGTGAAGTGATCTGGTCTTTTTTTGTTAATTCCCTATAACTTTTTCTAATTACTAGTAAGCTGTTCGGTTTTGGTTTTGTGTATATCATTTCTGCTATTAGGCACATGATATATAAATTTATTTGTAATGTATTTTGTTTTGTTTACCTTACTTTGTACATGTTTGTGCTATATTAAGTGATCTGTATCTCAAGGTTTGTTTGATTCCCTAAATTTCTAAAAAAAATTTTTAATGTTTGTTCTAAAGTCAAAAGTTCTTCTATATTTCTGGTTTCTTTTAGCTTTTCTTTTGTTTTTCTATTTAACTATATGTATTTTCCTCTTCTGCTTCCTTTTATTTAGTAGCTTAAAGGCTTGTTCTTAGTGAAAATCTTGTGTTTTCTTTGTTTTTTTTTTGCTTCAAATTTGGTCAGAGTGATCGATGGAGAGAGTGTTGATTATGAATACTTTCTATTAGATTAGAATTAGATAGTAATAGTAAAATATTATTATAAAAAGATTTAATATAAAATACTTAAGATTTTTAAATAGTTTTTTTTTGTATTTCTAATAGCTTCTTCTAATAGTTTAAGGTCTAGATATAAATTTTGTTGCTTTAAAAAAGAAAGTATAATAAAAGTTTTTAGTAGCAACTTTTTGTTTAGAATTTTAAAAAGAGCTGCTTGAATAATACTAGTTTGAATTTTGTAACTTGAAAATATTTAACAAACTAAGAAGTAATAAGATATTAAAAAAAAGAAATCTGAAATTAAAAAAAACCTGTTATAATATATGTAAAACCAATTTGGTAATCTACTTAAAATAGATAATAACTAAAATTATACATATAATAGAAGATACTATATATGTATCTTATTTATTAAATTAATAAAATAACATTAGCAAAGAATATTATCTTAATAGCAAAAGAAAAAAGATAAAACAAAAATTTAAAACTCTTTTAAACTCTAGTTTAAATTATGATATAATTAGCTTTGAATTTAGTATTTCTAATCTATTTCTAATCTAAATTCCAAATCCTAAATCCTTTAACTAAAACCACAAATCCCCCAAAACCGAAACTAATACCAAACCCTAAGCCTATACCAAAATTCTAAACTAATTCAATATATGCAAAATTTATATACTGTATATATCAACTTATATGATACGTATATATTGTAATATTTTGAAATATGTTAACAATTTTGGTATTTGTTTGGGATTTCGGCGTTGGTTTATATAATTCTAAGTCACCTCAAAAAATTGATCTTTTACGAAATTTTCTAATTTTTCGAAAATAATGTTGCTGCTCTAAGAACTTCCGAAATTTCGGAAAAGAGCAATTTTTTTGAGGTGTACCAGGATTTATGAAAACAACTGTAAGCATCGGCATTGGTTTGAGGTTTCGGGATTGATTTAAGATTTCGCTAACCGAAACCCGGCTCAAAAAAAAAAAGCTTAGGTAGCTGTTTAGGTCTCTAGTATATGCTATATATTACAAATATACTTTATACATTCATTTAACGCCAATTCCTAATGCTAATAATAACAACAATGGACAACTCGACACATTCCGTTAGAATATACCTGCTTATTTTTGGTAATTAGTGAAATCAATTGATTAAAAGGCACCAATTATTATTAATTTTTTTTATTAACCCTAACTTTATAAAGTTAGGGGCGCAGTTGACGCTCTGCACCAATTATTTAGTGTTTTTGTATTTGATATTATAGACGCAAGAAAATTTTTAATTGATTTTAGACGCGAGAAAGCATTCCACGTGAAATAAATTAAATTTTAAAATGTTAAAATGTATCTTAAAATCTGTTTTATCATGTAGTATTTACGTACGAACATACGTAAATACACAGTAATCTGAAAAAGATCAGAAGTTCATATGTTGTCCAAGCATACAGTATATCCCTCTGGAGTTGGTGCGTCTATTAAGCATAATAGATAAGAGATGAAACATTTTTGCATCATATTGCACCCCTTAATAGACGCACTTATCTCAAAGGGATATTCTAGACTTTGAAAAAAGTTAAGACTAGTTCTAGATCCATAGATATAGTTACATAATAACGAATAACATAGGACTCGTCTAGTCCGAGGCATTGATTTGAGAAGAGTCACGTGTATTCGAGGCTTATGTTTTACTATTAAATATCTTTCTTTAATTCCTTATTCACTCAAATGCCCTTATTAAATTGCTCTTTTTTTCTTTAAAGTAAGTCAAAGGCTCTAATTTCTCTGCATTAGGATAATGCTCTTGATTTGTTTGCTTATAGGATCTGATTACAATTAGAGTCTGTATCTCAATTTACCTCAAATATGCATTTCTCTATTGTAAATTATCTAGGAAATTTTTTTTTTTTTTTTTGAGGTTACAACCTCACGAGTTGAATCTATCTTTAATACGACATTATGGAATACGTAACTTACCAAATCGAAGGGTTAACTAGCTTGGAAAAGATGATCATTTGAATTATCAAATAATAAAAAAAAATAAATAACGAATGATTTAGCGGATTGAAATAAATTTAAATTCTAATGTATTCACTTCGCAACATTTCGAAATGATTAGAAACTAGTTGTGCACGTGTCTTAAATTACGTAACGTATCTAATCGGAGGTCAAGTCCGATAAGTTATTAAAGTTAAAAAGACCGATCTGATTTTTCTTATCATACAGTACATAGTAACAAATGCGCGTGAAGAATTCTTTTTCCTTGCCAGAAAATATTATCAAGCACACTTTGGCAATATTTATAAGTGATTGTTAACACATTAAATACTTTTTAATTTTTCTGACGCATACAATTTACACCACACCATATATAGCATACACACATATACATTTTTAAGAAATAATGTCCAATATGAGCTAAAAAATTAATACTTCATTTTTACATTACTAAAATGTCGAAAAAAAAAGAGTCGAAATTAACATACTATTCATAATTTTTGTCAGTAATTGAAAAAACCTCCTCATTTACTCGATTAACCTTTGGAGCATCTGTATTTTGATGTGGAGGTGAGGAAGGCGGAGGGGGAGTAGAGTGACGGGCTATTGCTGTGTTTGTAACTTTTTTGTTAAGCATTAGAAACGTATTCTATATTGATGCAATGTTAGTTGGTACTTGGAAAGAAGTCAAATCAAAAGTATCAAAAACACACCCGCTTCGGAGATTTTTGTTGTGATGTAGAAGAATGCGTAGAAGAAGTAGGATATGATGGATGAGTTTGACCACTAGAAGAGCTATTTGTGTATTGATTGGAAACATTTATAGGTGCCAATGAAGGTAAGGATACTGCTGGAACTATGGGTCCGGTGTTATAAGAGGAAGATGATGGCGTTGTTGCTTGAGTTGAAGTAATTGATGATGAGCGTGTAGAGTCCTGTGATTGTGATGCTGGAGGAGGGTGCATAGCTTTAGCACTAGTAGAACTTGAGCTAACGGCAACGCTTTGTCCATAACCTTCATGGGACGGGTACCCAATTTCATGTTGGTATCGGGGGTGGCCATAAAGATCATGTCGTGGTGGATATTCATGTGGACGACTTGGATGAGGATAATAATGGGCAAAGGCAGATGGGGGAGCTCCATACATACGAGATGGTGGAACGCCAGCAACACCACGCTCGGTATTAGCTTGTGAGTGATGTTGCTCAGAAGATAAGAGATCTTGAATAGGAATTTTTGAAGGGTTCTGACTATGTTGACTTGAAGTTGAATTATTTGATCCATAATCCTGTTTCGGAGGGGGAGGAAGATGACTCATGGGTGGAGGTGGATATAAAGGATAATAATCAGGATATGGATACATTGGAGGACCATGCAGAGGTACTGGAGGCCCACTTCCACGACAAGGAGAAGGCAATGGTTCAGTGATATGACTTGCCGGTGTACGATCACTATAGTGAGGCCATGGACGTGGAGAATATGGATTTGATGGATCGTACCCATAAGGCCTTACAGCTCCTGAAGTTTCGCCTGAAGGGTGTGGCATTCTCGGTGGATCATAATATCCCGGTTGACCTGGATACATTGGAGGCCTGCCATATGAAGGTGGAGGATATGGATAACGATGATGATCTGAACCATCTGGCAATGGAGGTGGGTAATAATAAGGATGATAACCATATCTTCTATCATATGGATCATAATAAGGGGGGTAACGCGGATCACCCATGTATTCTGGACGGTCATGCCATGGATGGGGTCTATGCAATGGATATCCATGCCCATATATGGCGGCATGATCATAATGACCATATGGATCATAAGGTCCTCGAGGACGAGGAGATGGACTTTTTCTTCCATGATCTCTTCGCCTTTCTGACGATTCTGGGGTTCTTCTTAAACGCGCTTCTTCTATGGATCGCGTACGATCAGTCATCTCTAAATCGGATGATTCGCGGCTATCTTCATCTCCACGTGCGCGTTTCATTCTACTACTATCTGCACTTTCGAGTTGTTCTAATTCCTTTCTTTTGACTAGCCGTCTACTTGTTCGGTATTATAACAGTCATTACAAAATGATTATAAAAGTCATGTTAATTAAACAAGAAAACCAAAAATATACACAAAAAAA